TTTAAAAGCAACACGATCATCGACCCGACGCAGTCCCCCGTTGTTGTTGTGAGCGCCGTTGGGGAGCAAATCAGCGATGTAAACGGTGACGTCATGACGCAGCAGCGGCAGCACCATCCCGGCTCTGAGTGGTGTGAACAAAGCGGGAGCAGAAAAGGGAAACCGGAGCTGAACCAGAAAAGCTCTAGCTCGGAGCTAGATAGGGAAAAGCGTTGGTGTGAAAGCCGCAACAGGGTATCTGCAGGAATCCTGAAGTCAAATGTAATCCCTTTTAAGACCTTTTTTAAGACCCTTTCCATACATTTTAAGACCTCATCTCCACTTCGAGTTCTAACCGGTTACCTTGGCGACACACTTTACCTCACATTGACTATAGACAGTATTGATTGTCCTTCCTCCTTATCTTCCAACCATTTGGACGCAGACTTGCATTTCCCCATAACGATGTTGTTTAACAACCGGCGTAAACGGGCCGTCGCGCGCTATCAAGCAGTGAGCGTGCGATGTCCTGTTCAGATGACGTCAAATCCAACGGGATGCCATAAATAAACTACACAGAATCACACTACACACCTACGCAATGATTACATTCAGGCAGAATGTAGAATACAACCTCTTTGGACCATTTATATACTTATTGAAAACAAGCTACAAAATGTAAGACCTTGGAAAATGCCGTTTAATACTTTTTAATAGGCTTAATTTTCATTAAATTGATTTATCAACTTTTAATACTTTTTAAGACCCCGCGGACACCCTGTGTGAACACCAGCTGTACTAATTCCACCTCACCAATAAGTACATTCAAAAACAACAGCTCACACATTGAGGATTACTCCAATTATGGTATGTGCATCCATTAACTTTGCGCTCTCTAATCCTCTTTACACAATATAAACCAACACAACTTCTCTACAGTAGCTCAAAGATTCTCCCTCCACGATCACGGTGGCCTAAAGAATTCACTGCAACGATATTAGTGTGATATCGTCCGAAAAGTAGAACGTCGATTTCATCTTTAACTGTGATCACTTTTAACTTGAAATGTTTTATTTTGTTTTTTCTATTCACTTGTAATCTGTTTCTTTTATCTGCCGAGAGACAAAGGATGTACATTTGCCTTTGCTAAACCCAAAACATTTTATATTACACCGATGTTCATTAAGTTGTACCGTCCTTTTCAAATATATAAATTGGTTATTGTGCGTTTTTACATGTTTTTTGGGCAAATACTTCACTTTGTGTGAGGCTTTGGGGGAAGGAGACAAAGTGACAATGGAAAGACATTTTAAAAAGGTTCGGAAAATGGAAATAAAAAAAGAGGCGCTGTTTTTACACAATATTGGTATATTTGTTTCGTAAATCAGGGTTCATGCACTTTTTCACCAATGACTTCTCCATGACCTCTACCTCATTTTCCATGACCAAAAAAAGTACTCTTTCTCAGCGGTACCACTGAAACATTTTTTTATTTTAACATGGTAAGCTGGAAAATAAGGTCTGCATATGAAACATGTTGTGTCTCTCTAAAACAAATCAAATAGGCTTACTAGCTCCTACAGGCTAAAGCCACTGTAGACTAGAGGGCTTGATTGTAAAAATCTCTCACCAGCAAAACACCTCGTCAGTTAAATGCCATTTTACGTTTCATTACTATACGATACAGCATTTATTATCATTATAGTATTACTATTTCGGCGATTAGATAAAATATAAATTATATTTGATGCAACTTTAGTTACATTTCCATGACTTTTCAAAAACTTTGGGAAAAATATTGTTTTCCATAACTTTTCCAGGGCCTGGAATTTACATTTTGAATTTCCATGACTTTTCCAGGTTTTTAATGACCGTAGGAACCCTGGTAAATATAACATTTTTAAACACATTTATTTAATAAATTTCGGTAGCGCTTTGCGTTATGAACCAAAAAAGCAAAATCTATATTTTTGATCAATACTTCGATATTGATGTCTCGACAATACGGTGGTGTTCAGTGCTGCTGCTTTCATCAAATATTTACACAATGAGATTTTTGATGAAGAGTCGTCATAAAAGGTGATATGAAGGCTAAGGCAAATACTAGAAGAGTTGTGTTGATGTAGAAAATGTTCCACAGTGGAGCCTTTAAAACTAGGAAAAGACACTTATCAATCCAAATACTTTGACGTAATCTAGTTTTATATCAGGATACTTGTGTTATAAGTTATCTCTTCTATTTTCTTGTACTTCCCATAAATCTGAGCTACAAGCGCTTCATCAAATGTTGTCTCTCCGGGCGTTTACCTTTGTAGGGACTCATGTCGCGGGTCTTGAGGAACATCTTGACGCTGCGGGTCATGCGGACCTTGTTGATGTTGTAGCCCAGCTTGTTGCAGCGGTTCTTCCTGCAGCTCAGGCACATGCCCTTGTTGAAGGTCTCTCTGGAGTTGCAGCGGTACGCCATGCTCTGCTGCTGCGTGTTCAGCAGAGAGTCGATGAACAGGTGGATGGAGCGTTCGTGAGAACACTTGACGAGCTGGTCCATATCTGCAGCACACCAGAGAGTATAGAAGCTGTGAAACCACTGCGTCATGCTAAACGAGAGAATTTCTTCCTCATGTGTGGCTTTTATGGGTCTTTACGTGTCAGGGCTGACCCAAGAGGCATTTCTCACTTAGTTCTGCATTGCTCAGTTAAAACACGTACAGCTGCTGAGCTGGAGGACAAACTGTGAATCTCTGGCTGTAGAAAAACGTATTTACCTTGCAGCCGTGAAAGCTTTTACAATCTCAAAGTGTCTGTTTACGCTGTGTGAATTTACAAAAGCCTATAGAAACTGTTAACAACTACAGTCTGAACAAATAGTTCTCGTACAGCTGCGATTAGTCCATCAACAGATAAATAACCTACAAATAATCTGATAATCCAATCATAAAGTTATTTTCATCCAATGTTTGGCATAACATACTGTTCGCAGCTTCTCAAATGTGGAGTTCCCTGCTTTTTTCTCATATTTCATAATAAACTAAACTAATGACATTTTAAGACATCACCTTGGACTTTGTGGAAACTGGGATGGACATATTTCACTATTTTCTGACATTGTATAGGCCAAAAGATTAATAAAGACAATAATCAATGGTTACAGGCATATTTAGGGGTTCACTTCTGGGCCCTGATGTCTCATACCAAACAGGTCTTCTCTGTAAACCCAGCCCAGAGCATCATCTCAAACAGAGTAAAGGAAGGAACAATGAGAAGTGAGGTGATTACGTACTCTGGAGGCCCTTGATGCCCGACAGTGCGATGCCCATCAGTGTGTTCTGGATGTCACAGCCCGGCTGGAAAGTGCCTCCGTTGGGGTAAATGTCGATGTGGCCCACGGGTCTCTGGATGCCGATGCTGCGGTCCGGGGACCCCCTGGTGTTGGTGTGCAGGACGTCCACAAACTGGGCATCTTCTTTGGACAAAATGTTCCGATTGTCTGCATGCTCGAAGGTGGGGCCTGCAGGATCGAGACCTGGAGACGAGAACAGAGAAAGAGTTGTTAGGGCCGATTCTGCACATTCTCCATGAAGAAAGAGTGCGTAGATACTAGTTGACCCACATCAAAGCAGAAGACATGTATCTTTCTATGGATTTATCTACCTCTAATCTGTGCTGTCCTGTTTTTCATTCTTACCCTGTTGCTGTTAATTAAACTACTGAATTTCCCCACGGAGATTAATAGAGGTCCATCTTATCTTATCTTATCTTACCTATAAAACTGTACTTTGAAGCATTTTAGTTTTGGGTTTCATTTGGTCTCTTTTTGCAGCTTTGCAGGAGCTCAGAACAATGTGACGCAGTGATTGTTAATTCTTCATTTCCTCCTGCCTCGCATAATGGGAAACATACCAAATATTATAAGCAGGTCAGAGAGATTTCAAATCTCTATAGTGGCAAATAGTGGGATTGGACCCGCTACACGGCCACATGCAGACAATACAGGCCAGGAATGCAGCAGATTACATTTCACTGGTGTGTTGTTTTTACGAGCAGGGCCCGGATATTATATTACAGTATTTTATGGTATGTTTGCACGTGTGAAATCATTCCCTCAGAGAGAAACTGTGGACATTATAAGCGCCTATTAAATAAGAAAAAAGGCTTAGAGCTAAAACACATGGTTGTACACAGCAACATGTAAGACACTTTCCAGTTTCTCTGTATGTAGAGGAAGCAGCAGAGCATACGTTGGTTAAAGGGGACATATTCTGCTCATTTTCAAGTTCATATTTGTATGTAGTGTCTCTACTGGGACATGTCTCCACGCTTTAAGGTTCAAAAAGCTCTTTATGTTTCTCATACTGCCTGTGCTGCAGCACCTCTTTTCACCCTCTGTCTGAAACCAGAGCCCAGTCTGCTCTGATTGGTTAGCTGATTGGTCAACACCTTAGAGATGTCCCGCCCCTTAGCCTATCACGTACAATGTGTTGGAACGCTAGCCAATAGAAGCACGATTGTTATAGAAGTAAACAAAGGAGTTATGATAGGGCCTCTTTAAGATGTCCTCACCTGTTATTCTGCTGATTCTATGGTCAGTAAGGTCTCCGGCAATTCCCGCCACATGCGCTCCAAGACTGTACCCCAGCAGATGGAGCCTCTCCCAGGGCAGCTGCAGCTCTTTCTGAAGGTGAAGGAGAATGAAACGTGTCAGAGGAACATGTTGATATGGGTTCAAACAGTTCAAAGGTGAACCCCACAGACTTGCGCAAGGCTGTTCTTGGCAAAGCACTGCAGCACTCTGATCAAGTATTAATGGAGTCTGGATCCAAAACAAAGAATAGTTTGTACAATTGTGTGGTTTGCCAAATAAATTAAGCAAGCTTGGAACGCACGTAGACAAACAGGTGAGAGCGTTTATGCCTAAAGCCTCTGTTTGCATTGATGTCGATCGAACAAAGTCTGCACTCCACTCAATACTCAGCCTTGTAATGAGAGGCTGCTGTAGACATGGCAATGAAACACACACACACACACACACACACACACACACACACACACACACACACACACACTCACAGCGTTTAGAATCAGAACCAGTCGGAAAACATTAGAGCACTGCTGGTATCAAAAGCATTAAATCATCCGATACAAATTTGTGACAGATCTGTTGGCTGCTCTCATATCTTTGCTGGCAGTAGGGCTTGGCGATATGATAGAGAAGAATCAAATATCACAATATTTTGAAACTAAATACTTGATAGTGATATTGTGGCGATCTTTTAGGCTTACTAGTAACAAAAGTCAGTTGACGACTGATGCTTTTACAAAATATTGACATGAATTTTGAAAATAATCATCAGTAATGTGGATAAAATGAGTAATTTGGTGAAAGTAGATAATAGAAAATCTGGTACATTTATAAAATGACATCACTAACCATCTAAACCAGGAGAAATCAACATTTATGATGTTATAAAATCCGAAAGTCTAGTCTCAAATCAAAATAAGGATATAATATTAACATATCGCCCGGGTCTGGCTGTCAGATTATCAAAGAATCTGTCGGACAATAAATGACGAGGTGGATAAATTCCACTTTTGAACATGGACCATGAGCAGTATATGTTCCAGTTGTTAGCCAGCAGTGCAACTTTTAGCTGCACTGCTCCCAAACTCTGGAACTCCCTCCCCCTTCACATCCGACAGTCTGACCCAATCACCACATTCACGTCCCTCCTCAAATCCCACCTGTTCAGATCAGCCTACTCACTGTAGTGCTCCCTATCACCTGTCTCCCCTGAATAATATAATAATAATTGTATGGTGTTCTTGGGTGTCATGAAAGGCGCCTTGAATAAAACATATTATTATTATTAGATCAAAACTTGGACTCACTTGGATCCAGGTGACGAACTTGGCCACGTCGCGGCCCACCAGCTTGGTGTAGGCGGCGGAGGTCGGGTAGTGCTGGTTGGCTCGGGTCAGCCAGTCCACCACGATGACGTTGGCGCTGGGCTCTCGCTCGTACAGAGCAGACACCAGTTTGGGCACCCAGCTCTCAAACATGCCTGTCACCTACAGAAACACACACACATGTTCTAGTGTCAGCTGCAGGGTGGCGTGATTTATTGTGGCCTTAGCCCCTCGTTCTGTGGTCATGCTTTGGCTGGAATGAAGCCAAAGTGTCATCAGGTTCAAATCTGATGCCTGCAGAGAGAACTCACTGCCCTCATGTACAGATGCTCATCATTTTCAACTTGGATCAACATTTATGATTAGTTTGTTGTCATTGGCAAGACTCAAATTCTATTTAATGGTTATGCAATGCACTGTTTTGGGCATTTTCTCATTGGTGTAATTTCAAAACATCTGTTTCTCTCAGTATCAGTAGTAGATTTTTAAAGATATAATCAAAACAGTGAACCTTATGTTGTGTCATAATAATAAAGAGAAAGAATACGAAGACGCAGAATGACATATATTTTCTTCTTAACATGTTTGTTTTGTTATTTCAATGATTAAATTAACCAGTAGGAATGTAAAAGAATCAAATTCTCAGTACATTTCCCCCGTATTACCAATGGTTAACGACATTACCTACATGCACATCACACAAATACAGGCTTAACTTACAAATGAGGCACTTTTTTTAACAACTCCACATGAATTAAATTTCGTTTTACATACCGTCCAGCCATGAATCATGATGAAGGTCTGGGTCTCGGGGTTGAATTCGCACTCTTTGATGGTCTCCGGTCTGCCGGGCACGATGTAACACATGTCCTCGTCAGGGATGTCCTGAGTGCGCAGGGAGAACTTGGTCACAATGTCAGTGAAGTCTTTGATCCACTCGGTGGTGGTGTGCAGGGGAGCATCGGTCACTGTGCTGTTTACTGTTACAACACACACACACACACACACACACACACACACACACACACACACACACACACACACACACACAGAGAGAGAGAGAGAAACACAGGAGATTCGATTATGATGGTATGACAGAAATGTAGAGGATTGCATGCACAAATCAGGGATCGTCACTAGGATATAATGTACGTATAACATATAACACCTTCCAGTTTTATGCACACAAACAACAACAACAACAACAACAACAACAACCAAGCAACAGTTTAAAAATAGTTTGGACAGTTGCACCAGACATAATAACAACAATAAACCTATATTTTTCATGCAGATTACCACACGTTGCTGATCTTCTGAAACATATAAAGTGACCACTATTAACACCAGTATGAGTGTTCCAGTAGAGACATAGAGCATGGCAGTGTCGCCCCCTTTTGTCTCATAAAGTGCATAAAATGAATTAGACTTAAAAAGATTTTAATTCCGAAAGGGATTGAGTCCATTTCTGAAAAATAAATCGGGGTAAAAAAAAACGAATAAGATTCTTCCACTGTTTTGTTTTGAGTCTTTGAAAAATAATCAGATAACAGCTAATTGGTTTAAAGTGGCGGAATGTCACCACAGACGGGGGTATAAGTCTTTCTGAAATAATTGTTTTTGTATTTTAACTTGACAAACAATGCGATTTTGTTTTGAAATGCTCTGTTTTTGTATGTTAGTGTGTCCTTTTCCTCTGTCCTTTCTCCAGACAAAAGGCCTGCAGCAGCCGGGTCTCTTCATGCACACATGGACCTGAGGCACTGAAATGGGATGCAGACCTGCAGACCTGAGCAGGGTTACTCTCGGTCACATCGGAACAGCATGCATTCATTAACCTGCTTATTATTCCTAAAACTACTGCCGATGAATCACCATATCAATAATCTGCCAAACAGGTTATCTCAATAATAAAAAAAACACAACGGTAAGGGAGGCTCTTACCAAACTCAGTGGTGGTGAGTTCAGGTTCAGAAGAAAAAGTTGCAAAGATTTTTCCCAAAATTATCCAAACAGACAAAAAACAGATATTTTCTTTTCCCATATTAATGAGAAGTTTTTTTTCTAGAATATCCTGAATGAAAAAAAGGGCTTTAAAAAATTGTTGTATATCCAAGCGAGTGTTTTAAAGCACAAAAGTGTCAGCAGTTGCGGTTTAGTGTAAAGTTTCTTATGGTCTGTCACCGTTGCCGCTCCAAGTCATCTTTATGGGTGGCTCATTTGAATACTCACACCTGATTGGCTGAGAGTTGGGGGGCGGGGTTTAAACTTTGTCCCATCTCTGATTCACTGAAATCAATGACATTAAGGCTGAGTAACAGCAGCGGAAGGGTCTCTATCAATAGATTTCCACATTTAAAACAAGGTGTTTAAAGGTTACAGAGAAAAAACAGGAACAAACTCTCATTGTGAAAATTTGTTTTTTTATAACTTGTACAAGGTTGTTGAAAAGGACAACCGTGATTTATGAGATTCATTGTTGTTTTGACATATTTAAGCTAAACTAAAATCGTGAATTGTAATTGTTACTACAGTAAAAGTACGCAGTATTATTAGTAAAATAAATAAAGTACGAAAATTGCCCCTGTCAGTATATTTAATCCTACATTATAAACCATTTGATTTTATTACTGATGTTTTTTTTTGTAACAATGCAAAATGTTCTGTCTAAAAAAATATTTTTTAAGTAACAATTAACTATTTAATTAAAAATGATGTCGTAAAAAGTCTAATATTTTTCCCAGAGCTGTTAAGGCGCATACATTGGCACTAAATGTATACTGAGTTACCTCAATGTGTGCTTTAGTACAGTACTTGGGTAAGAAAATATATAATGTTTTGTACAGTCAACTTGTGGTTCTGTTTCTTACAATTTAATGAAATTTACTTTATTTCACCGGGATAATGCACTCAGAATACGGCTCTCCATGTGTCCTTAGTAAATAAATAAAAACATAGATAACTATACAACGAAAACACATTAATAACAATAAAATCTCTTGATAAAGTGTTGTTACAAACTAATAAATGATTAACGTACCTGAATACATCAAACCTCTCCATCTCCACACATATTTCCGAGAGGATCACACTTTTCAGACTTTCAAACTATGACTAAATTGTCACTGATGTTTACCTTATCAGATCTATATATTGAGATTTTGTATGGGTTATTTGATGCCACGGTGAGGTCACTGAGGTCAGATTAGATCATCTCCCACGAATCCTCAGAGCTGTGGGGGTGTGAGAAAGCCTCCTATTGGTGGAGCACAACTCAAAACCAATGGCAAAGCACAAGAGGGCATCAAATGATACTAACATGTCTTCTGATTGCATGCAAACAAGGGTTGGAGGAATAACCGAGGACGAATAAATAATCAAAAGTGCATTCCCATCTCATATCTTGTAACAAAAACAAGATGCTGAGATACATTCTTCCTGATGCCAGTTAAACCTCTTTGCAGCACTTGGGGGCAGCGAAGAAACTCAAATCAAAGACACATGTAGAGAAGACATGTGGGAAGAGAGTGTTATGACGATTTTCAGGCCAAAACACCTGCGTGAGAATATCTCAAAACCAAACCAGACCAACCTATGACCTAGAGATATTCTGGCATCACGATAACGTTTCTGTGTTTATAAAAAACGTTTGTCATTTTTTTCAGGGAATCAGCTTAAGCCTGTAGAGATATGTGAATGAGATTTGGATTAAGGAAATCACGTGAGGAGCGTGATTTAGATTCAGGGCTGTGTTGTTTAATGTGTTGCCTAAACAAAAACAGCTAAGGCACATTTTGTTCCCTTTTATTGCCTGAAAAAAACATTTATTGTCTTTATCTTTTATCTGTCCTTCAGTTATTTATAATTTTGTTCTAATAAATGAATGTTTATGCTGGAGATTAGCTCAATAAGGGTATTTAAACTTCTCCATCTCAATTTGTTATCATGCATATAACATAATCTGCATTGTTTTGTTTTACATTACATGTCACTTGTTAGACGCTTTTTTTACATACTCAATACTGTGGACAATCCCCACAGGAGCAATTTGGGGTGAAGTGTCTCAGGGACACAACGACATGCTGACTGCAGTGGGGTTTGAACCTGTGGACACCTA